ATATACATACACTTCACTGGTTCTGCTTTTCTAGAGAACCAAGCCTAAGAGAGTCATACACCAAAAAGCTCTCAATAGTTATATCTGCGTAGAAAGATTATTAGTGATCTTTTCCTCCTACTTTCTAAGATTTTTACAACGATCATGGCTTACCTTGGTAATAGAAAAAAATAACCTTTATATTTTACTTGTTCTAAAAAAATTGAAACATATCATTAAAGTTGGAAAGACTGACAGATCTGCTCTCAGAAAAAAACCTTAAACTTGTGTGTGTCAGAATAACTTTGAACAAGCTCAGAAGATACATGACAAACTGGAAAAATATTTGTAATTTATATAGCAAAGGTAAATAGCTGTATTAAATGAACCTTCACAAATCAAAAGAGAAAAAAGTATATTCCTTTATAAAAAGCGTTTGAAGAATATGAAATTCACAAAAGATTGGCTACAAATGGCTGGTAAACATTTGAAAATATATTCAGCTTTTCAAATATTAAAAGAAATAAAATTGAAGAACCAAGAAATATATCATTTTTTACCCTTCAGTTTTTAAAGCGTGGTATTTCTTGGCATTGACAAGTGTGGGGAAAATGGCACTGGTGGTGGGGAAAAAAAATCAGTACAACCCTTCTGAAGGAAATTTGGCAGCATGAATAAAAAAATTAAATGTAAAAGAACGACACAGATCTATAAGAACTGAAATAGAAAGATATCTGTGATATATTGTCAAGTAAAAAAATCAAATTGTAGAGCAATTAGTATGATGTCATTTATATAAAAACTCACTCATGTCTGAGTGTGTATGTGTGTGCAACAGACAGAGACAGAGAGAGTTGTAAATGCATAGAAAAAGGATATAAATCAAACTTCTAGCAGTGGTTACCATTTGAATGGAAGGGGAATTTGGGCTGGGGTGAAATGAGACTTATACTTTCACCCTAGACACTTCTGAATTGTTTTGCTATTTTATAATAAGCATGTATCAATTTTTAATGTTAAAAACTATTTTAAAAATATGATCTGACCCAACCTTATAGATTCTGAGCCACTGACATGTATAAACTTATTTTTACATATATATATTTTTATATATATATAAAATTTGAGAACCCAGAAATATGTCATTTTTTATCTTTCAGTTTTGCAAAATTTTTAAAGCATGGATGGTAATTCTTGGTATTGACAAGCGTAGGGAAAATGGCACTGTTGGTGAGGAAAAAAATCTGTAAAATATATTTATATTTATACATATATGTTTAATTGCATAAGAATGAAAAATGTCTGGAGGCATATTAGTGGTGAATAGCAGGGCTTATCTCTGAGAAGTGGAAATTCAGGTGTTTGCTATTTTGTTCATAAATATTTATCTCATTTGAATCTTTAAGATAAATATATGTTATTTTATGATGAGAAAATTAAACTCTTTTTTTGAGGGAGAAAAAAAGAAATCAAGTAAAGTAATAGCAAAAAAAAAAAAAAAAAAAATTTTTTTTTCAGGAGACCCAGCCTATGCTAACATTCTCTTGGGCCACACCACAGATGGACTTGCTGTGCAGACAAGAAAGATGAAAAGAAAGGGGAAGATACTATCACCTTGAGAAATGTATCCATTGACACTTCCTATGGAAAAGATAATGTCATGGTTTGAATTAAGTCCCCCAAAAAATGTGTGTATCAGTTTGGCTAGGCCATGATTCCTGGTACTGTGTGATTTTCCTGTATGGTGTAAACCTGCCTCTATGACGTTAATGAGGGAGGATGGGTGGCAGTTGTGTTAGTAAGGCAGGACTGGATCTGTAAGACTGGATTGTGTCCTGAGGCAATCTCTCGAGATAGAAAAGACAGAAGTGAGCAGAGAGACGGGGACGTCATACCATCAAGAAAGCAGTGCCGGGAGCAGAGCGCGTCCTTTGGACTGGGGTCCCTGCGCCGAGAAGCTCCTAGTCTGGGGGAACACTGATGAGAAGGCCGACAGAGAGAAAAAGCCTTCCCCTGGAGCTGACACTCTGAATTTGGACTTTTAGCCTACTTTGACTGTGAGGAAATAACCTTCTCTTCGTTAAAACCATCCACTTGTGGTGTTTCTGTTATGGCAGCACTAGATGACTAAGACAGATAAGATGAGTATAACAATTCTGACTGGCTACAGAAACACTTTAAGCATAGATACTAAACCTTGTGAAAATGCTTAGCATGGAAGTACCAAGTACATATTCTGGAGAACAGAAAGCCTCAGAGTTAGTTTCTGAGTAACAGGCCTAGGTATTAGAACTGGACAGTACTCTTTGAAGACCAAAGTGCTGACAAGGCTGGCCCAGTGCCAGGGCCTCGCCCCTGATTTCCAAACCTCTGATTACCATCACACTAGAATAATCAAAACTAGACTAAAATCTGATGGCTGAATTCCAAGTTACACTTATGACCAAAGGCCACAATCAGAAGCAGAAACAACTGAGAAATTAAGGAAGAATGGATGATTTGTGTCTTCCATTTTGACCTCCAGATATGAAACCAGATAAATAATTAGCCACCTAACAAAAGCAAAGATGGCTACCTCAGGAAGAAATTAATTCCTTATCCTCAGAAAGATGCACAGAAGTAGAACTTCACTCCAGCAGAGTTGAACCACGACAATTTTATTTGACATTGGTATTTCCAAAGACTTTCTAGAATCTTTCTGAATCAGCCTTGACTATTCTCAAGAGGTATGATAAACTAGTATACCCCATTCAAAATAAGAAAACAAGTCAAAAACATCAGGGAACTACCTCCCATTGAAGATTCCTCTTAAAGTGTTAAGGAAAAGATGGTGAATGGAGCCCAGTAATTTCTAGGTTATAGCATCCTGCCCTTGGGGAGAAAATAATAAATCAGTAAGAATTCTTAGGGAGACAGAAGGATGTGGTTCAACTACCTTGTTCTTTAAAAAAACAATCTTAAACTTTCTTAGGCAATCAGCCTGGAAGATCATGAGTTCAATTTCAAGCATTGTTAATTTATGATGCCTTTGAAACATCCAAGAAGAAATGTTAAGTAGGCAGCAGGATATCAGGTCTGGTGCTTAGAGAGATCTGGACTTAAGATATCCATCTGTACATTATCTGTGTAATGGAGACAGCTGATGCCATGGGTGAGGATAAGACTCAGGCAGACTAAGAAGGGCTACTAGCATCAAGCCCCAAGGACCTGCAACATTGAAGAGCTGGATAGAGAAGGACAAAGAAAGGGGTAGAATACCAAGAGGCAGGAAGAATCCAAAGGAGTCAGAAGTCAAGAAATGAAGACATTTGACACTGTGCAAATGTCTGCTGAGTAATCAAGTAAGAAGAGAACTGAAATTGCCCACTGGACTTAGTGACATGAAGGTTACTGGTGTCCTTGGAGAGCGCAGTTCTAGGTGAGTGGTGGGGCCACAAGCTAGAATCTAGAGCAGGACGTGAGGAAACCAAGGCCATGTTTCTCTTGATGCTTGTTTTAATTAAAGATTTCTTCTGGATAAAAATGTTTGATGACCTAGGAGAAATGGCAGGACAGTCACAACACATTCCCAATCTGAACCCATGCAGAGACGGCTTTGGGAGGACATCAACCAAGCATAAAAACATGGGTTGGTAGACAAGTCTGGCTGGAGAAGGTGGAGTGTGGATGAGCCCTTAGGTGACTATGTCTCTGAGCTACAGCTAAGCAATAAAGACAATCCTCTAAAATAGTGGTTCTTAAAGTGTGGTCCCTAGACCAGTGAAATCAGCATTACTGGAAACTTATGAGTCATGCAAATTCTCAGGTTCCTTCCTCTTAAATCAGAAACTCTGGGCCGGGGCCCAGCAATCTGTGTTAACAACAAATCCTCCAGATGATTCTGATGCACACTCAAGTGTGAGAACCTCTGCTCTGGGTAAGTCGCCCACACATCATGACCAGCAGGTGTACAGGGTTCTCTAGCTCATTTCAACTTGGCAGAGCTATTTGTCACCTTAGAAGTTGTACTGACTTTTTTTTTCACCCAACATGAGATTGCTGTTCAAATTAAAACCCACCTTTGATGACAGACACAGAGCTTGCCAAGGGCAGCAAATACACTTTAAAAATCACTTACGCTGCTTGAAGACTTCAAGGGCCTGCTTCAGAGTGCTAAAAAACAAGCACACGTATAATTTCAGTTCTGGAAGTTGTCTGCACAGTCTTATTATAAAGCCTTTGCATGCTTCTCTTTGCACATATCTTAACATATAGCCTACAGACTCATCTTAGCCATCTTGAAAGCACAGCAGAAGATCAAGACTTCTATGTCTAGTTTTCCCTTTCTTACATGCTCAGTTCCAGGCACAAACATCATAAATTCTTTGATGTCTGCCTGGGCTGCACAGGGTGCCAAAACTCTTCGTGTTTCATTTTCCCCCACTATAATCCAGGAATTACAGTCCCTATCTCATAGGAATATCATTAATTATTTTAAGTATGGCAATTAGAAATGCAAATACAAAGTAATAAAGGAAGGGTTCAAATCCTAGTTCCTGACCACCTCCCTTTTCATTCATTCAATCAATCATCAAATATTTATTGAGCATAAACTATGGGCCAGGCATTGTGCCAGATGTTGGTGATTCAATGATATAAGGCAGACATCATCCCAACCCCCAGAATCTAATGAGAAGACAGACATTAAACAAACTGTATTCGTTTTCTATTGCTGCATAACAAACTACCACAAACTTAGCAGCTTAAAACAATACACATTTATTATCTGAAAGCTTCTGTGGGTCAGGAGTTTGTGGACATAGCTTAGCTGGTGTTACAGATTGATTTGTGTCCCCCAAAAATGTGTGTCAACTTGGCTAGGTCAGATTACCAGCACTGTGTGGTTGTTCACCATTTTGTGATCTAATGTGATTATCCTAAGTGTTGTAAATCCTAACCTCTATGATGTTAATGAGGCAGGATTAGAGGCAGTCATGTTAATGAAGCAGGACTCAATCTACAGGATTAGGTTGTATCTTGAGTCAATCTCTTCTGAGATATAAGAGAGAGAAGCAAGCCGAGAAGAGAGGGACCTCATGCCACCAAAAAAGGAGCACCAGGAGTGGAGCATATCCTCTGGACCCAGGGTCCCTGTGCTGAAAATCTCCTAGACCAGGGGAAGATTGATGACAAGGACCTTCTCCCAGAGCCAACAGAGAAAGCCTTCCCCTGGAGTTGGTGCCCTGAATTTGGACTTCTAACCTCCTAAACTGTGAGAAAATAAATTTCTGTTTATTAAAGCCATCCACTTGTGGTATTTCTGTTATAGCAGCACTAGATAACTAAGACAGCTGGGTTCTCTGCTTAGCATCTCACAAGGTGAAATCAAGATGTCAGCCAGGCTGCATTCTCATCTGGAGGCTTGAGTGGGGAAGAATCTCATTGTAGGCTCACTCAGGTTGTTGGCAGAATTCATTTCCTTGCAGCTGGAGGACGGAGAGCCTCAGCTTCTTGCTAGCTGTCAGCTAAAGGCTGTTCTCAGCTCCTAGAGGCTGTGTACAGTTCCTAGAGGCCTACCATGTACTTCACCATGTACTTCATCAAACCATCAAGGAGCATCTCTATAACAAGTCTGCTAGCAAGGAGTCTTATCTAATATAATCACGAGAGTGACATCCCATCAGCATATTGTGGGCATGGAAGACCTTCTCTAAATATACCCTTTCTCTCCCTTATAACCAGCTTCCCATTGCCCATGGTTTTAGCCCCCACTAACCTACAGTTCCTTAAGTAAACCCCCCTCTGAGGTAACTTGACCATTGGAATGTTCTTGCTCGTTGCTGTCTTCATAGAGGCTGATCTCACCGGGCTCACTCCAGCCACTCAAGTAGGAATGGGACTTCGTGAATTCATGGTCCTCTAGCCACAGCAGCATAGGATCATGGATCATTTTGTATATGTATGTATATATGGCAATTCTGCTATTTCTCAAAATAAAACCATTATAATTTTCAACTGGTCCCTTCTTTTAGCTACCTCACTTTTACCTCTCTGTTTATTTATCCCAAAATAAAGGGTACTTATTTCTCCCTGCCTTTTCTCATACAAATATATCCACAAACTATTACAATCACATCAAGCATAAAAACATAATTGTACATATCTATCTACCCATCTTATGGTACAATTTGAAGGAGTACTAATGCACTAGAAAAGTGTCCTTATCCAAACAAATGCACCAATGGTTTAGAAGAATGAATGATCATTGCTGAAGAGTGGACTTATTGCTGTAATTATTGAGAAAGAAAAATGGATAGGGAAGCAGATACAATAGAAAGTTATCTCCCTACAGTGAGTTGCAGGGTCTAAAAGCCAGCCCTACAGATAAATTGTGTCTGTTTAGGGTCTAAAATCAATATGAACTCACATTTTTAAAATCTGTCCCCTGGAAGCACCTAGAAACAGTGACACCTCCATGGCAATGACCAACCCTACACCTGAGAACCTGCTCTGTAAATATGATTAACCACTAAAAGGAACCAGCCTTCACTGGTGAAATAGCTGACCCCAGGTCTCAGGCAAGAAAAGCAGAAAATGAGCTTCAGATATCTTGTGATAGAAAGCAAAGAACTCTCACAGGCTAATAGGATCAGGTCAAAGGACATAGGAGTCAGCTTAATGATTCCCACTGGCCAAAGCTGAGGCAATTTGAGATCAAAAATGAAAATGACCATAATTAAATATAATGAATATATGAAAATCTGAGTGTTTAATAATAATACTTAAACAGAGAAGGTAAAACAAAACAAGCAAAAACTCTCATTTGTTACCATTGAAGGCAACAATTGCACCAATACCTTATTCTTAACTTGCTAATTAAAAAGAAAGTAAGCATTTATCCTGCCTTCCCAATAGGTACTATATTTCAAGGTAACTAACATGGGGTCGCCATGAGTTGGGGGCCAACTCAACAGCAGCTAACAACAACAATAAATAGACCCAGTGGATAAGGGGAAGCTCTTCTTTACAGGAAGATGCCAACTACCGAGTGTAAAAGGAATGTTAGAAAAATCACCCATTTGCAATCTGAATGAAATAACTGATTCAGGCAAAGATCATCAGATGGAAACACGGAGACTAGAAGAACAAGTTAAAGCAAACCACAAACACACACACAATCAAACATTTTTCACGATAACTGATTGGTTCAAATTCTTGACACTCTTCTCAAGGAGAAGTGGTGGTCTATGTTTCCTCCCCTTAAATCCAAGTAGGCTTTTTTCAGACAAAGACTAGACAGGCCTATAAAACAAACAATAACACACGTGAGGAACGTGCTTCTTAGTTCAATCAAATATATGAGACCAAATGGGCAACTCCTGCCCAAAAGCAAGACGAGACAGCAGGAAGGGACAAGAACTAGACGAATGGACACAAGGAACCCAGGGTGGAAAGGGGGAGAGTGCTGTCACATTGTGGAGGTTGCAGCCAATGTCACAAAACAATACGTACATAAATTTTTGAATGAGAAACTAACTTGAGCTGTACACTTTCACCTAAAGCACATTAAAATGAAAAAAAAAAAAAATCCAAGGGAGCTTCGACCGTAAGTATGGCAGACATGATGCTATGTGACTTCTGAGCTGGGTCATCAAAGGCCACACAGCTTCCACCTGGCTCTCTTGGAATGCCCACTCTCTGGAGGCACCTGCTTGGGACACTGCCTCTTGTTATCAGCTGCCTTGCTGTGAGAAGCCCAGGTGGTATGCAGAGATCACATATAGGTATTCCAGTGACAACCCCAGCAGATTCCAGCCTTTGAGTCCTCCAGCCCAGGCTCCAGATGTATCCGTGAAGAAGCTTCCGGACGAGTTCAGCCCCCAGATTTTGAGTCTTCCCAGTTAAGCTGATATCGTGGCACAGAAACAAGAGACCTCCCTCCCTGTTGTGTCCTGTCCAAATCTTTGTCCCACAGAATCCATGAGCATAATAAAATGGTCATTTGGAATGGTTTGTTACATAGTACTAGTGACTGGTATGATAACCAAATGCAATATGTGAACCTTGTTTGGATCCTAGTGTGAAAAACCAGCCATAAAATTCATTCTTAGGACAATTGGGTACATGGGAGTTGAGTGTACTGTGCTTTTTACTTTTGTGTATGTTTGAACATTTTCATAACAAAAACAATTTAAACACCTTCACAAAAAATTATATTCAGCAAATATGACAAATGTAAATAATTATTAAATCTAGGTGACAGTCTTTTTACTGTTCTGTGCATATTTTAATCTTTCATTATAATTGTCAAAATTATATATATAATCTATCAATCAGTAAACAAGCTCTCCTTGAACTAATGTCCAAAGTCTGAAGGTAACAAGTTTTTAGGCTTATGTAACAGTATTAATATTTTAAATATTTCCCAGTATGTTCCGTTTTATCCTTCTCAGTAATCCAGTAGGTTTCTTTGCAGTCTGGGATAGTGTGTGTGTGTGTGTGTGTATGTGTGTGTGTGTGTCTGTGTGTCCTATCTGCCCCTATTAGGATGTCTGAGGGGACATGACCTCTAGGCATCCCGGTCTGTCACAGTGAAAGCGGCATGTGGATAAGTAAATGGTGTGATTAGGTCTACAGAGAAACGGCTTGCACTACTCCTCCCAAGACTTCCTCAACATCCTCGTGTTAGAGAAGGAATCTAGAAATTCCCATATAAGCAGGACCAGCTACATAATTTGCATAACCCAGCACAAAATGAAAATGCAGGACCCCTTGATTATAAATTATTGAGAATTTCAAAATGGTGACAGCAGAGCTTAAACCACATAAGTAGCCCTTCTAACTGGGGGGTCCTGTACAAGTGGCCATGAAGCTGGCTCTGCATCGGAGACAGTGTGTTCCTAAAGTAGGCACCACGTCCTGGTCATTTCTGCATGCTCAGAGTACTCAATGAACGGTTGAAGAATAAATAATTGTGGTACTGAAAGCTCACATCTGTGGCAAGAACAATAAAATGGTACAAAGACCGGCTCTCATAGTTATCACAAAGACACCCATACACGTGAGTACACATGTGTGTGTATAAAACAAAAAAGTCTCCTCCATTAAATTTCTAGCATAGAATTATAAATAATATAATTCTATCTATGAAAAGACTGAACACAAAAGGACTTCAAGGAAAATTGTGAACATACAAATAATGGGGTTGTTGCTTCATTGTTCATTTTTAGCCTTCTTTCTGCTTTTCAGTATTTTTAACAATTTGAAATAAGAAAAAAAATGCTTGACTAAAAAATTTTTTTTTCAAAAATTTTTAGACTGTACAAGTCAGACAAAGGTCTAATCTCCATAATCTACAAGAAAATCCAACACCTCTACAACAAAAAGACAAATAATCCTATTAAAAAATGG